ATAGGGCTACATTTTTGGACTATTTATTTTTTAAAACACTCGAAATCGACTTTTTGGCCTAATGTCCGCTTAGTTGCCCACTGTGCGGTTATAACCGAAACCGAAATAACCGAACATCGGTTATAACCGACGAAATTTTATAATGTGCTCAGTTTTGATTGTTACTGTTCTAGTTTTCAAAATTTGGATAAACTGAAATCAGAATTGCTGATTTTTCGCGCAGATGTAATTTAGATGGCATTACTTAAATTATTTCTAGTTTAGAATTAAATTCGGTGTCGATTAGGATCTTTGAGAAAGCCATTAATTAGACAAAGAAAAATGACTAATTTTAAGTGAGTAAAATGCACTGCTTCTTCATACCAAGAAAGCATTTTCAAGACTCGCTGCGTGATGAAAAATACAAGATGCACGTAATGCAAACTTACAGTGGAATTTATTGTTCAGCTTATTATATACCATTCGGTAGACCTTTTCAAGCAGATCAAGAATGTGTAGTTTTGAATTTTTCGAGACTTTCTTTTCGTGTCCAAAAATCGGATAAACTCGAAGGGTCTAAAAACTCGAAAAAACGACGATGTTCGAAAAAGTTAGATTTTTCGACTTGGGTTTTTAGTCTGAACGTTCAAACTATTTTTTTCTTGTTCAGCGTTAAAAGCTAAATTAAAAAATGATAGGAAATCCATTTCGAAGGTAAATGCCTGTCCACCATGGATGTTCGACTGGATCATTGGAAAAGAAGGGTGAGTCATTTTGTAAACCTATCTAGATTTTGTATGAGTCATTGGAACTTTCATTTGCACATCAATAGATTCTCTTGATGCTCGGCTTTAAACGTATGTCGAGCTTTTTTTCAAATTTTGTTTCGTTGCTGAGAAAATTCATTTTTTCTAAATCAGAGGCGAAAAAGTCGGAATTCTGGCCGTAATTCTCAATTTTCTCGATCAGAACTCAACTTTTCAGCAATAAAGATATCACATTCGGAACCAGGATCAAAAACTGAGTCAACTGATGTGTATTTTGAAATTTTTTCAGTTTTGGGTGAAAATCTCGGTAATTTTTCAACGTGAAAATTCGAAAAACATTAAAGTAGGCGGATCGCATAGAAATACACATTATAAAATTTCGTCGGTTATAACCGACGTTCGGTTATTTGGGTTTCGGTTATTTCGGTTTCGGTTATAACCGACGTTCGGTTATTTGGGTTTCGGTTATAACCGACGTTCGGTTATTTCGGTTTCGGTTATAACCGATGTTCGGTTATTTCGGTTTCGGTTTAACCGAACTGATGCACTCTTAATTAGTAGCAATGTCGAAAGCTCGAAATTGATAATAGATTAATGAGATTTTGTTAAAATCTATAATGTATTTCGTAGCAGTTCTATACAAAATATTCTATACAATTGATCTTTTTATCCATTAAATGTGCCACCTGGCCCATATTTCTCTTCAGCAATTTTATGTGCTTGTTGAACAGCACGACGTTTTGCTTCTTCTCGATCAAGAAAATCAAGTCCTTTAGTTTCAAAGAGTTTATCAACTTCGGCTGCCGCAAAGCCAGCAAGCATTTCCTTCATCAATGGATGTGATACATTTTCACCAGTACTACGAACATGATCTGCATAGGCTTTCATAGCTAAATAAATAAAAAGAATTATGATTTGTTTATAATTTAAAATAAATCTTAGTAGTTTGAGAAAACGTGAATTTTACCAGCAAAACCGGCTGCACCGCCTAATAGTTCATGTGTCCATGACGAATGATGTTGAGGTTGGTCTCCATAAATAGCTTCATGAGCTTGTTTACTCTCATCATGACTGAAAAGATTTTAAAAAAAAAACGACGTTTTACTGGATAATATAAAAGGCTGAAAATTTTAGTCGAAGTTGAAACAAAACCGAAAGATATGATTGTTCATCTATGATTCAAACTGATTTATAACCAATCATATTTTTCGGTTTTGTTTTGAACTTTGCCTAAAATTTTAAGCATTTAGTATTACCCCATTTTATCGTCGATGTTTACGTGTCACACTTTATACTAATACAACTGAAATTCAATGAAATTTTCTTTCACAGAAAAGAAGAAAGTTTTTACCTAATCTTCGAGATAAACATCATGTAAAGTTCTGTACATCTATATAGAAAAATGAAAGTCTAAACGTTAATTATTAATTTCTTCTCGAAAACAGTTAACAGACATTCTATTCAATTTAATAAATAAAAGAGATTATTTCTAGAAAATGGCTGAGCTGCATCTCAATATTCGGTAAGTTAGATTTATAGTATCATCAATAAATTAGTTTTTTTTATGATTATCAACGTTATCCGAATTACGATATTACATTTCATCTGATTTTGAGCAAAATTGTGTCCAATGTTTATTAGAATTATTTGTTGATTTTTTATAACTTTTTAAAATTTTTTTACGTATTTTGATAAGTACTGAAAATAAAATAGTTTGGTCGATAATAGTAGATACTATGTCTGAATGTCAGGGATCGGGTGAGAATGCAAAAAGAAAAGAATCGAGCAAAAATATTAAAAATAAGGAATCATGGAAGTATTGCAAGAAATAAAAGAATCAGGTCTGAAGAGGCTATCCTTGCCTCACCTGCCAGGATTCGGTCTACATGAATCTTGCCAGAAGGTCATGATCTTTTTTTCAGACAAGACGCTTAACTGTAAATTACAGGAAAAGAATCTTGGCTGAGTAATATAAATAAGAACAAGAATCTGGAAAGAACGTCGATTAGTGTATTAATAATTATCATAACGTTAAAGTAGAATAAATAGGAACATAATAATATTATTTACAATTTGATATTGATTAAAATATTGAATTTATTATTAAAAGTTTTTTAGTGAAAATCAATACAATTAATTATTTATCAAAATTGAGAATATTTCATTTTATTCACTTCGTTATTAACCCTTAAAAGCCGAAGAGGGTTTTTTTGACAATGAGAAACAACTGACTATCTTGAGGGTGGGTGAGGGTGATGGTAATAAAGAAAAAATATGAAGAGTGAAAATCTGTATCTACAACGAATACCCTTTAAGAAGCACAAAAGACCTGTTGAACATGAGTCGCAAAATCAGAAAGGACATTGAGCCCATATCTTCAACACAGTATCATTCACCTGTTAATATTTTCTATTGCCTACTGCTCCGAACTGTATCCATAGAAAATGTGAAACGACTGTAAAAAAAAGGTGAGTGTTACGAGCGAAAAATCTTTTTTTTCTTCCGTTCTGTGTTTGAGAATGTATAGATATGGACGACCATTTTCGACAAGTTAAGTGAATAGATACCTATTGACGACGCATATTTTCTAATCTCCATGTATATATATGTATATCGAGTATCACCTTGATTATAATGTACATCATTTATTAATACTTCTTTGGTATTCGCGTCTACGAAACATAATTTCTCTTTGATTCACATCAGTGAATTTCCTTGATTATCACTTGTTAACTAGAGTTGGACCGTATTTCTAAATAACAAAAACGCGCCTCTCTTGCAAATGTCGAGTACTCCTTCCATTCTCGTCTTGAATGCCACAAGTACAGTTGGCAGCAAAATTGTTGCTGTGCTCAATGGAACTAATCACTTCAACGTCAAAGCTGCCACACGTTCTCCACAATCGAATAAAGCCAAAGAACTTCGGAAATTGAATCCAAACGTGATCATTGTACAATTAGTAGCGGATGACGATTCAAGCATTGCTGCAGCTTTAGAAGGTGTAACACGATTATTCATCATCACGCCTTTATCACCCTCAGATACTAACTTCATCACTCGCATATTAGCAATTGGCCGATCATTTTTGGATTTAGCTGTGTATTTAAGTGCCGAGAGTGCTAGTCAAGATTTTGCTATCTATCATAGAGCCAATGAGAAGGCAGTGCAAGTATCTGGAGTATCTCATATTATACTAAGACCAACATCATTCATGGATAACACATTTGACAGTCAAACACCGTTGTTTCGCATTGAGAACAACACCATGACATTATTCATGGGTGAAACTAAGATGGCACATATCGATACACGTGATGTTGCTGAAGTTGGAGCTAAATTTCTTACAATGGTCACAAATGAATTAAAACCTTATTTAAATCAAGTTTACGTAATGCGTGGTTCACAGTCGGTGGATTGTAAGCAAATATGCCATATTTTATCTCAGCATCTCTTACAACAAATTCGCTATTTAAACGTCAGTGAAGACGATTTTCGTTCATTGTCGATCAAGCGTGGTTTTTCACCCGACGTGATTGATCATTTTACTCAACTAGGTAAATATTTCGCTAGTGGAAAGTCAGCTGATCCGACACCAACAACAGAACAAATACTGGGCAAATCAGCACGAAATTGGAATGATTTTATGGAGACGAACAAAGAAAAATTTACCGCAGTTGTAAAGCCTGAAAAATCATAGTCATTATACTGAATACGATATGGTGAATACCTTATAGACAAACATTGTTTGTTTATTAGCCTTTGTTATTGTTATTTCTTCTTATTTGCTTTCTCTCCCTCTCACATACGCAAAAGACATATTAAAAAAAAGAGACTTTTTCAACTTGCATTTTCCTACTTTACATCAAAGAGAAATACCTTCTATATCACAATAAGAATATATATGTAAATAATCGACGAGTTTTAGGAATAATGTAACGTGATATATATATCACGTTACGTGAAAAATGTACAGTGATCCTTTCTTTGTAGATATTTCAGTCTATTTAGGCCCAAAGTGGCAAAAATTAGATGAGAGTCGCCTCCTTACACCTCAGAAGACCTATTCTGATGTACTTTTAGATATTGAAATGACCAAAGCGGGTACTGCCAGATATCGTGAGCGAATTAAAGTCAAACGTCTTCTTTCGAAGCGGTTCGATAAAGAGTTCAAACTGAAACAAGCACAATCTCGAGCCAAATGGCGTTTAAAAAAGAAACAACAACAATCAGTCGCCGTTGCGCCTCCAATACCAGTTGCCACTCACTCAACCGTTTCTCTGAGAAATCAGCTGAGGAAAAAAGAAGGTCAAAAGCGTCGCCGAGAGAATCTTGCACGACTGAAAAGTGAAAATTTAGCTCTGCGTGAAACAGTTCATCGACTGACGATTGAAAACAAAAAACTAAACCAAACACGATCAGCTACTCCTCCTCGTGCATCACCAACTAAACTCTTTCTCTCGAACCTCAGCCTTTCGGCCAAGAAACGTGCATTTAATCGTCTCAAGGATCAAAAGGAACAGCTTGACCGTGGCTCTGCTCTTGATCTACGGAAAAGCTTTGGCATAAATCTCTCTAACTCAACTATCCCGAAGAAAACAGGTTCTTCCGCTCTTCAGCTCTCGATAGAGCAGTTTCTTTGTCAAGACCATGCCACCAAACTGTGTCCTGATAAGAAGAAAGTTGTCGACAGCCAGCAAGTACGCTTTCGACTGAACCATCTGACCGTTCTCCATCAACAGTTTGAACTCGAAACTAATATCGATATCGATTACGACACTTTTTGCCGAAACGTTCCTCGTTACATCAAGAAACCAGAGCATGACGGCTGGGGAACTTGCCTCTGCGTGAGCTGCCTGAATCCTCAAATGAAGTTTGAAAAGCTATTATATCTGAAGCAGCGAATCCCAAGTGTGAAAACAGCACTTGACGGTGTGCCTTGTGACATTTCTGAAGTGGTGAAAGACATTGCCAAAACCAATGCTTTGAGACAAAGTCTATCGACACTAGACCAAGAACATTTCAATATCATGTTTTCGGAATGGCAGAAGAAGAAAGTACCTAATTCCTCGACGCCTGTTACCTATTCCTGCCTAATTCCTGCGATCACTAAGTCTTTCCTCTAAACTGAATGTTTTGAAAGGCTCATTCAACTTAGCTCTCTTTTTCCCCCACTGGGGTTTTAGGTGCCTTCTACTTCGAACAGCACATCGCATTGCAAACAGGACACATCTGGCTAAAGACTGAATCGTTCAGCTTTGGTTGTATCAGTGATGATACGAATCACATGGCTGAGGCAGCCTGGACTGGAATTCACTCGCTCCTCACAGATCTAGTTCACGAACACAAAGTCACAACAATTAACATTATCTCTGACTCGCCAATGTCTCAGTATCGGAACAAAACGATCATGTACTTGATGAAAAAGTTTGCATCTGAACATCAAGTCAAAGTTAAATGGATTTATCTCGAAAGTGGTCATGGCAAAGGAGTTGCAGGCGCTGTCGGCGCTGCACGGAAACGAATGTTAGATGACGCGGTGGCCTTTGATCCAGATGGCAGTTTTGAGAACGCTCTTGATCTTCTCAAAGCCACAGACAACTCAACTGACATTCGACTGTTCATCTACAACAAAAGTGATATCGAAACGGTGAAGAAGAGTATTCCGAAGTTAACAACAGTCAAAGGAACCGCCTCTTTTCATGCTAACAGCCACTAAGGAAGGAAAACTTTACGCTAAAGCGTTGTCAAGTGAACTCGATACGCTGTTGAAAGTCAACTTTTAGAAAGTAGGGAGAGTAAGAGCAGTGCCATCGTTTTGCGCTCGATAGTGATTCTTTTAGGAAAGTAGTTTTAGTCATTTGAAAGTGGTGTGTTTTTATTCTTTACAAAGCTGTTGATTCTATTGACTATCTGAAAGTAAATGAAGAGACGAATAAAGAAAAGGATTTGTTCAGTTTTTGTGATTTGTTGTGAACAGTAAGTGTTAAAGATGGACCAACAGATAGATCTTGTCGAGACCTATCGAATGGTGTATCATAAGTGTGCTTTTAACCTGAATTCCCCTCCTTTTCCTTACACAAGCTTCTTGACGTACTACTTCATTCAGTGTTTCTGAATTATCTTGGCCTCCATAGCTCTGGTAGTTGGGAAATTAACACCAGATACTCAGTAAACGATGAAGAACGAAACGTATTACTCAGATTTTCCATAAATTCACTTTCATTTTTTTTCCCTAATTGTACAACGAAAATACGATTGACTCATATATATTCAATGTGTTTGCTGCATAAATCGTCTGGAAACTGCTGTCATTGTCAGTTGCTGCGGTTGTATTGGTTGAACTGGATTTCTATGATAACAACATAATTTCTTCAACTGTGCGACGATTTCAGGTAAACCAATCAAGCAAACAAATGGCATTAGTAATGGTACAATACAGGGAGCATAAGCAAAATAAACTGCGTTGAAAACAAAAAGAAAATATGGATCGATCCATAATCGAATTAAACCAAAGATAAGATAAGGTAAATAGATAGCCAGAAATAAAGAAGAAATTCAGAACATTTGAAGAACCAGTTTTCGAATAGTACGCCAAATACGACCACGTCGTATTTTGTATTTCTGATACATAACACGGAGAACCAGGAGAATGTTGAGAATAACCGTGAGCAGAACAGGTGCAACTGAGCTAATCATATAATCGATTGTAGAAACCCCTCATATAAATAACAAGGCGCTAAACACCACACTTGAGTATAGTCAAATTGTTGCTCACATGGATAAAAGAAGACTAAAACAATGTACCAGATGAAGAGAAAAGTCGGTGGAAGGAAAATAGGTATGTAATGTTTGAGGGCAGTATTTATAAGAGCTTTGTGACAAATGAAAAAATAACGTTGAATCGAAGCTATTGCCATGATCCAGCAACTTGATGTGAAAAGAGAATAATTCAAAAAGATCCAGAACAGACAAAGAATATATGAAGATGGGTTGACTTGACCAAAATCAAGATACGTAAGGGTAATGGGTAATTCAATAGTTATTATCAGGAAGTTACAAAGCAATAAACACATCACCCTAAAACAAATAAATGGGGTATGAAAGAACGTTGTAAGGATGGGATAAATACGGGATAGTTTATTTGATTTCTTTTTCTCAAATGTCCAGACCATACTTGCTTTTCAGTTGTTCTCGATCATGAAATACATATTCATCTAAATCTATTTATAATCTAATACAATCACTTCCTTATTGACAAGCAGATGTCATAGACAATTCTTTAATATAACTCCGAAGATCCTCTACTTCATTCGAATAAGCACAAATACGATGAACTTCAAATGTAACTTTAGAAAACTGAGTAAATATCACAATAAAATATGATTTTTAATATATCCATCCATTGTCGATAGTGAGAACTGACAAGTAAAAGAAAATGTCACTTACACATGATTGTGTACTTTGGCTCGAAGTTCTTGCAGTCGAATAAAATAGTAGAATAGAGCTAAACTACAAGCAGTGGAAGGAATTTGACAAGTGATTAAGATGCTGAATTTAATTGTTCTAGTGATTTGTGTATCGAATGTGCAAACGCCAGTATCATCATAATCGAGAATGTCGTTGGTATCCATTGTCACTTGCTTGTTGTTTGATTTCAAATGAGTTAGTGCTACATACCTCTTCACCTTTCCTATAGTGAGAGATAGAGAACCTGCTCAGGACAGATTTAATTTAGAAGTCATGTACAGATCGAGAAAGGGTTTCTCAGTATGAAGTCAATCGAATATCTAATATAACTATGGATTATACTGCATTTTTAATAGGAACAGATGGAAGAAGAATGTTTTTATTATCTTATTTTCATTTTCGATTGAACTTGTATACTGCCAAATCAAGAAAAGAATTCATATCATATCTACTCGTCACCGTCAACACTTCTTCTTTATTAAGACACTGTGTGCTATTCAGTTAGAACCAAACGATATTTATGAAGATTACGTACAGTAATCTCTAGTAGTTAATAGAATACGTTTCTCAGCGTCACCTGTCTTTCAATATATCCCAACTCCTAATAAGAAAATAACATGCAATATTTTTGGCTGATACATCTGAAAATTCTTTGCGAATGATGACAATACTTATTGTTTTGATTTGTTGGGAAAAGAGCAGACTGTACAAAAAGGAGGTGATTTGTAATGTTATTTTAGATGCGTCCACGTGTTTGCTGCATTTGTTGTCTTGACATTGTTGTCATTGCAAATTGTTGAGGTCGCACGGGTTGCACTCGATTTCCAAGGCAGCATAATTTCTTCAATTGTGTCGCAATTTCAGGTAAACTAATCCAACAAACAAATGACATTAGTAATGGTACCAATTAGGCAGAATAAGTAAAATAGACCATAGTAAAAACAAACAGAAAGTATGGATCAATCGAAGCCCGAATTCATCCAAGGATTATTATAGGTAAATAGATCGCCAGAAAGAGAAAAGAAATGGAGAAAAGTTGAATGGTCAGTTTCCGAGTTTTGCACGAAGTGTGACCTTGTTGCATTTTGTACTTTTGATAGACCACCCGTACAAATAAGTGAACATTGAAAATAACGGTGAGTAAGACAGAAAAAAATGAACTAATTATCCAATCAAGTATAATTCAAATAACATGCACCTAAACACCACACTTGAGTATAATCAAATTGTTGTTCACATTGGTAGAAGAAGACGACTGATAAAAAGATGGGAATGCAATGTTTGAGATGTGTGTTGATGAGATGTTTATGAAAGATGAAGAAATACCGGTTCTATTAAGATCAACTTGCGACGCAGTTAAGATGCAGGCTGATCGCTGCGCGTAACTGCAAGGTAGTCCACAAAAATATAAACATCATGAGATAATTTCAGATTATGACAAAATTCTTGACTGTAAATATGAATTCAATTAAACGACAACTAAGTCTTGACCAAATGCTTGATAGAAGAGAGAAGACATTTAAAAGTAAGTTTCACGTAGAATGAATAATATGATATATTTGCTGTTTTCTTTTGATGTTACTAGCAACATGCAAGGATTGCAGGTAGGCAATAAAACCTCAGTTCATTGTAATTTTCTTCTTTCGTTCTATAGACTATCGAAAACTTGTATCAAAAATTTATCTAATGAACTATTGTATGAGATTTTTGATTACCTCGATGGTTATGATATTCATATCGCTTTTTCCAATCTTAATATTCGTTTTCAATATTTTATTACTTATTCATTACTTCTAATAAGGATTAATTTTTACTCGCAGTCAAAAATACCAATTGAACTTCTTTATAGAAATGTTATTATTCCACATAAAGATCAAATCCGATCTATTCATTTAAAAAATAAATTATCGAATTTTAGAATACCGTGCCTTGACTGATCATCATCGGTCATTTACTCCTGAAATATCTCCTTCGTCTCCCAATCGTCGATTAAAACATCGAAGTACAATTCATCATCGTCCATCTTCAAGTCATGCATTAACTGCTAAACCACAAATTGAATTTATGAATAATGCTAATAGTAATCGTTCTTCTACTCCTGTTCTCTCCACTGAATCTATGACGATCAACGAATCAACAAAAATTGATGAAATTCTCTGTTTTCATTTACCAACTATGGCGAATGATTATTTTCAATACTGTAATTCTCATTCGCAGGCAAATAAATCTCTACAAAATAAAATCGATTCGAATGAACAATTTCGTTCGTATTTAAAAATATTTCAAGATACCACCGGTGGTTTATCATTGAATGGTTATTTAACAAAACCGATTCAACGTGTTACACGTTATCCATTATTAATCGAAAAGATTCTTAAACATACTCCGAATAATCATCCGGATTATCTGCCGATTAAACAAGCATTGGAATCTGCGCGACAATTAACGGAAAAAATTAATAAACAAATTAGTGAACAAGAAAGTAGTTCACGCTTAGATTGGTTACAACAACATTTGGCTTTTGGAAATGATGAGAACTCTTCCGATGGATATTTATTAGATGGATTACTAAAATTTAATTCAGTTAATCGATATCAGATTCAAAGGCAATTGCTTTTACATGGTGTAATCATGAAGGTAGGAAGGAAGAGAAATTAGAAAAGATTTATCCTTGTTTTGGACGACGTAGGTTCCTGGTGGAAAAGAATTATTAGCATTTTTATTCAATAATTTTCTTTTATTTACAATATTTAAATCATCATCGAGTAATTGGCAAACACAAATATTCGAACAGAAATCTAATTTATAATTGAAACTCTATCGATTAGTAAGAGAATTTCATGAGAATCTATTACACTTCAAATTGTTCTCGCTGCACGTAGTCGGACAAAGACTAGTAGTGGAAACATGACCTTTGTTCAAATATCAATCAAACAATTTCGTACACAAAAGGAACTATATATTACACCAACGATCATTATTCTATCAGCTTTGCCTCAAACTATTTTTACATTTAGTTTAGCGTGCACTGAATTAACTGTTTGGCATCGACATATATTACTTATCACATATTTACTCACTTATTCACCACAAGTACTTGGCTGTATTCTATATGTATTATCATCAACTGTTTATAGAAAAGAGTTTAGTGAGACTTTATTTGCTAAACAGGTATCGAACTGGCTGTATATTGTACAGCAGGATCCAGAAACGATTCCGAAGAAAAAATAATCATAATAATATTTAAACGAACTGGATTTACTTTTCTTTCTTCTTATCGCTGTGAATGTTATTCATCAAAAAACAAAATCTTTTCCTGAACTCAAGAGAGAACATATCCAACTATCCAGTTGACGCATAAGTTCTGCACATTTTTGTTTTTTGGTTCAACAGTAAATTTATTTTTCAACAAAGATATGCAAACATCAGTCAGCAATATAATCGCCATTGTTTTCGACAACATTCGCCCATCTTTCTGGCAATAGTTCAATTCCACGTCTGTAGAAATTAGCTGGTTTTGATTCGAAAAAGGTAATCAGGTCGGATTTTAGCTCATCAAAGTCTTCATAGTGTTTATTGCACATATAGTTACGAAGAGATAAGAACAGATAATAATCGGTTGGTGCGAGGTCTGGTCACCACGGTGGGTGTGGAAGAACTTCCTATCCTAACTGTTCAGGGCTGGGCAACTCCAACTCCGGAGTTGAGGATTTTTTTGTTGGAGTTGGAGTTGGAGTTGAGATTTTAGTAGGTTGGAGTTGGGTTTTTGAATATTTATTCTCAACTCCGTTTTACATTTTTGGAAATATTGAATAGTTGTAAACTGGTCTTCTAAACGATTGAGTGGCTGTATTCACGAGCGAATTCGGAAGTTCTTTGCGCTTTCTTGCCGGAAAAAGCTCAAAAGCGTCCAGAATCCTGTTGAAAATCGAAAAATCTTCCGTACAAAAGCGAAACAGCCGGACGGCTTGTCCAAGCGTGACGCTGTAACATTTTTGACACAGTAATTTGAGCTTTTCTCAAAAAGTGTAACAGCTAGAAACTTCGTTCTTGCGCCATTCGACGGAGCTCGCTATAAGCTACTTTTGGCATAAAAATGAAAGTATGTGGTTAAAGACTCGAATTTTTAGAACCGTTTTTCGGCGCGTGACGCTGTGACAAAAAAGGCACTAAATTCGAAGTGCTTCTCATTAAAAGCTTATTTGCTGCGAATTTAGAAGAGCTAATAAAAGCGCCTCGAGCAAAATTTGTAGAGGAGTAAACGAGCTACTGATTGCTAAAAAGGAATCTTTCGAAAGAGCTTTCCTTTCCTCAATAATTGTGTTTT